CTTACAGTAATGTTGGTAGTCTTACAGTAATGTTGGTAGTCTGACAGTAATGTTGGTAGTCTGATGGTAACTGAAATATGTAAAAATAAAAAAAAAGTATCAAATTTTTTTTTAATTTCTAGTAGTCTAATTCGGCTACTAATTTTGGAAACTGGTTGCCTTGATATCCATAAAAAAGATTAATATACCGGTACTAAGTTTGAAATCTAAATTTAGATACACTTGTATTTGGGATTATGCAAATCACCTATATGTATGTTGCCAATACTTTTCCACTCAAAAGCCCTATTCTCTAACATTGCTAACAGATTCGTGAAAATATGGCTGTTTAAATTTACCATTTCAATATCTGTTTGTCTGCTTTTTATCACATGTCAAATAAAGTACCAGTCAAAAAATTACATTGAAATGAAAGATGATTACTTAGTTATATGTATAAATAATCTATTTCTTATTGATTATTTATCATTATTTTGAAAATTACAAAAACCTTTTAATCAAAAGTGAACAGGTTTGTAGAAATTCAAATGAAATTGGTTACCTGGCTAAAATGACAGGTAGATAGGATTTTAGACAAAATGGCCGTCAATTTGACAAATTCAATTGAATCACAAAATAACACAACCTATAGTAATACCTATGAATCTAGAACTTGTATGAAAACTTTCAACTGATTCAGGCAATATATCAGCGAGCAGTCGGCATGGACATGGATAAAAACAAAATGTCTATCAGCCATTTTTGTTTGAATTTAAAAAAAAAACCATGACTTACCCCTGTAACCCAATATGTATGATCATGCTCCAAAGTTTGAATGAATTTGCCTTATTATTATTATTTGAGTAGAGATCCTGGACATGTTTAAATATCAGAATTTAGAATTTGTTGGACCAAAATAGCCGACAGTCAGCCATACTATCTCAAATTGTAATAAAAATTTAGGTGCATATGTAAGTCATCTTGCATGTTCTCTTTGTTAAGTTTGAATGTGATCAGTCAAAGTTTGAATAAAATCATCCTGTTTATTTCGAGAAACAGTTCCGGAGACATTTACAGTCTGAGATTTTCGGATTTTAGACAAAATGTGCATCAATTCAACAAATGAGATCAAATCACTAAGTACACATATTAGTATTTGTGTACACACTCTTAACAGAATCTGGCATTATATTAGTGAGGAATCAGCATGGATATGAATAAAAACAAAATGGCTGCCAATTTCTAAATTTTTTTTTAATCTTGAAAAAAATATGTTGTGCACCTGTAACATTATTTGCATGATTATACCGGTACAACATTTTTATGAAATCTCCCAGTTCATCTTCGACAAGCAATCTTGGATATGTTTGAGTATCAGAAATTAAAAATTTTTAGAACCAAAATGGCTGCCAGTCTGCCATATTTGATCAAATAGTAAAAAAATGGCGTAAGTTATCATACATGGTGTTTGTATATTTTAATATGAATAGTCAAAGCATGTCTGAGAATAGACATGTGGAACCCAAATTAAAAATTGTTTCTGTACTGTAATGTTCAATAAAATGGTGCAGTATGAACAAATAAAAATTGGTTCTCATCATTCAAAAATGTCTGCAAAACAATGTGACACACTTGATGACCAAAAACCTGCATGTATTTTTTCTTTCTTTCATCTGTTGTAAAAGATACAAACTGTGCAAGCTATCGCTGTGTATGTAAGGTATCAGTACAAACATGGTGAGTAATAATGTGGTTGACCAATTCCTGAGTGAGCTATTAAACCATGCTTTGTTTTTCAGCATTTTTTTTCATATTTTGATAACTAAGCTAAAATTACTGCTTTGGTAACTATAATTAGTATAAATACAAGGTGCTATATAAAGCCTGTTTTCTGGATGTTCTTGGAATTTTAATAGCAAACATTTCCCATATACATCATAATACAATTTTCACTTATTCATCTTGAGATATTGAGTAAATTTTGCAAAGAAATCTCAATATACTACAGTTAATAATGACAGAGAGAACATAGGTTGCTTAACATAACATATACTGTAATAATACTTTATTTTCGCTTGGAATTCATTTTCGCTATTTTCACTGAAGGAATGATTCATGGAACATATTAAATGAAAATGTGGGAAATACCTTATCAGCTTTGATTAAGAAATACGTAACTGATTTATAGCAATATAGAAAAAAAAGATGAATCAATGTAATTTAAAGATATGTATTACTGTTTTCATGGTGACAATACAAAGGCTGAAAAAACATTATTATTATTATTATTATTATTATAAAATCTAGCAAATATACTTTTTTTCCTATATTTTACATTCAACTCGTCAAAAATCAGTGAAAATAAATTCCATGCAATGAAAACCCCCAAAAATATCTTTTCAGCTAAAATTAATTCCAGCTAAAATAAAGTATTTTACAGTATTTAATGATAATAGACCAACAACTCATTTTACAGCTGCTTACATATGCATAGCTAACTCTATAATTTTTTGTTTTTAATAAAACATTTCCTCTATCATTAGTATCAATTTGCTGAAATGTGAAGACTGAAAGCAGAGTATATATGCTACCCGGTACATCCTTTTCACCACCACTTCCTCCTTTTCATCACAAATTCACAAACTAGTCCTGTTCATAGTCTGCACTTTCCTTCATAAGATTGGGAAAACCAAGGCAAATTTTTTGAGTAAAAACTAAAAATTGATTCAAAATTACAGTAGGGTTCATTTCCTGAAATATTGAAAAATATACAAAAAAAGTGCAGAAAAATTTGGGTGAGAAAGTCTGGTGATGAAATGATGTTGTACATTAAATCATTTGCAAGAGAAAGGGATGGCCACTGAATTGAAATGAATTACGGTACAAGATGACAACTTATAGGCTGCCCTGGGAGGAATCATGTCATTTACCTATCTTTGACGGCCTCTCATTGATGATTATATGTGTCGCTTTCCATAATAGTGTACGTCATGCATTATAATTTTCTACGGTCCCCATCACAAGACCAATTTTAATGATGGCGATTACCCAACCATTAGTTTTCATATCGCATCGCCAAATTCGTATACAAAGGCTTTTTTTTTTTCATTTTAACTTTCAACATTATTGTATCACAAACATTATCTCAATTGAGGATACGTTTATCAATAAAGATTATTATTATTATGATGATGTAACCTTGTGTAGGGTGACTTTTGTCCATGCAATTACGGTATGTCTAAAGCAATATTTCGATGATATTTGGTCATCTCTATGTGGTTACATATTAAAATAATTGCAACAAACTATTGCTGCTTTTACATATTTAAAATTTTTGCAGGTAGTTAAATACTTTGCTCCAGAGCCAAATGAGTTTACCTGATCCACTACTTATCAGCTATTTATAGCACAGTAGCAGGGACAAATAAAGCCTCATTACCTCTAGCTACCCCACAAACTGCACAAATTGGTCTTCAGACAAATTTGATATGAATAATTTTTTCCCACATTTAATGACGTTCTTGCTTATTTAGAACAGTGAAACAACAAATACTGAACATTCACCTTGACAGTGGATATATTTACGGATACTTTATGGTAAAGACAAAACATAAAATACATTGCACAGACAGAAATAAACAATACATAATGAGAAACAATTAAAAAAGAAAATATCTATTACAAAAATAAAAACCCTTTGTTTTTAGCAAGGAACATTCAGAAAGTTCCTTTCGTAACCGCCACGCCTAATTCTAACTTAGCACCCACCCCATCCCCTAATTCAATGCACTCTCCAGATAACTATAGGAGAGATATCGATTGAAATCAGGAGCGCTGGAAGGTATTTATAAGAGTAGGGTTAGAGCATGGTTAGAGTGGTGGTTCAAAAGCAACTCTTTCCAAAATTTAATCACAGTCCCTGTGATAGAGGGACTGTGATTTAATTGAGTTCCTCAATACACAAAATCACAGCAACTTTCACAAAATGTATCTTCGGACTTCGCCAACACCATTACAGCACAATTTACTTGCAGCGATTTTAAACAGTTTACAGTAAGGTATATTTTGTTTATTCCAAACCCTGTGGTTTTAGTAGCTCTGATTAACGTGGCTGTGTCCACTGCGGCAGCACTAAGCAAATCGGTGGCATTGGCAGTGGCAATTATGTACGTGACACCGCCTGTGTATGACACAGGTTAACAATTTCTCACGTGGTCTTAACTATCTTATCATGTCAATAAACAATGATAATTTTGAATTTAAAAAAAGTACGGCGATAGAATAATGAACGCTGTTAAGGAATAAAAAATAAAACTTACTTTCAGAATCGTATCATGGGACTGACGACCAGTATCAAAATCCAGTCCGCACGCTGACCTGTGGATCTACAACTGTTATGATGACCCCTAGATGAACTTCCGGTTGGCGACAAAACAAAAAGCACTCAAATCAGCTGTTCGCCGTTTCTTGCGAACAAGCAATTATCGAGTTCGTCAATTTATCTTTCAATCTTCATAAAACGGCTAGCTTCAAACCACTGGTTTGAGTCAAATTATTAACGATTATTGTCGGACATCTGACAGCTGTATTATAAACAATTTTCTGGCCGCATGTTTTTAGCCGCCGTATATAACGCGTTCCAGAAAAAAATGGAATTGCTGAAAATAATTATTAATGAATTTATCATCTAGACAGCTGCAGTTTCAATTACAGTAACGCTCGTGTTGAAAAATCAAAAAAAACAAAATACTGGTTAAATATTGCCCAAATTCCCATGATGCACCAGTCGTCCGCTTTCAGAAAATGGCTGTGCCCATGTTTTGAGTGTAAAGATGAATAGAGTTTGTCTAGTTTTTGGAGGATCGCGCGGAATTGGAGGTGCGATATCGAAAGCATTTGCGCGAGAAGGTGACAATGTCATTATTTTGGCCAAAAATCCCACGCGTATCGATGCAGCTGTTCAAAAGTTGAAGGATTTGGGTGGTGGAGGTGCGTGACAGTATTTACAATTTGAATTTCAAGTGAAGCTCCGCGACTCCTCAATCTCCGGATTGCACCACTGCGTCGTGGAAAATGCAATTTGCATGGCCCTCCCAGTTGTTCATTTATACCCGTTATTAGTTCAACCGGAGACGTAATAATTCCGTTCGTTAACATGCATCTTATCACAGTCCCTCTTTGTGGAGTGATCTTATGCTACACAGCTGCTGATCGAAACGTAAATTTGTCGGGAATATTTTGTTTCCACCTCTTTTCCGCCTACTTTGCAGCTCGATTCATTTGTACTGACATGACGTGACAGCCATGTTGGAATGTTGAATACCGATGGCGCAATTCATTTCGCGTTTCAAAGTGTGAAATTTTCTCAGATATTATTAGGCCAATGAAAAAAAATGTGGGTTAGGGTTTAGTTTCGTTTCATTTCGTGGAAAAGACTAAGCCTTTTAAATGTCATAACTTTAGTGCCATTTTGAAAAACATCATAAAAAAATACAGTTATTTTCATGTTTTTCAGTGATGCATAAAACATGTTGTATAAAGTTATTAAAAATAAACTGATATAGTAATATACATGCTTTATTTAACAATACAATATCTCCATTTACACAAAAAATTACAGATCGTTTTTATGACATCTCAAAAATACCTTGCATAATTTTAGTTGTAAGCATGGAACTATAGGGGTTTATAGTTCCATGTTGTAAGCATTATAATGACGTTTTCAAAAAACGTATTTTCACCATAGCAAAAAATAATGCTATAGTTATGTTTTCAATCAGCAGCTGTGTAACCGTAGAACGTCGCATCATCAGAATCGCACTGTTTAGTGACTGTGAATCTGTGAAACTATTTGACGATGAATTTAAAGTGAAAAATTTCAAATTGCCTACTGCAGGATTTAAACTCACGACCATCATGACAAACTATAGCATTATCATCACTGTTTGCCCCATAGAGTGTGAAGTAGACTTTTTTATGTCATGGTAAGAATGTCAGTCTTGCATACTGAGGGTCATGAATTCAAATTCCACACATGACAAATTGTATATTTTCGCTTTAATTAGTTGTTCAGACAGTTTTATATTCATGTCCTGTAACACACTCATTTCAAAGACCAGATGTAATCAAAGATCAGTATGAAACAGTAATTAATAAACAATACGTGGTCTCAAATAACTGAGACAGTGTCATTGACTCCATACACCACACCCACATATTCACTTAGTAATCAAATTCAATTAGCACACATTACCAGTATACATGTATATTGTACACACCTTTGCTAGACCATTATTTATTGTGAATAATTTGAACAAAACACATATACCCAATACAATTTTGTGACAGCTACAACTTCACTTCTCAGAGCCACCCCCCTCCCCAAGTATGATAAATTGAGCACTTTCTGTTTTTATAAATTAGGCGTTGCCACCTAACTATGTGACCAATCCTAATAAATAAATAAAAAATTTTAAAGCAATTTATTATGACATTTTTTAAATAAAGTAAATCCAGTGCAAAACATCAAATATTTTTTTTATTTGTGATATTGGTAGAACATATCGGTATATCAGTGCTCGTACAACAAAAACGTGCTAAGACACCTGAAAGTAGTAGTACGTAGACTACTTTCGAGTTTCATTTAATCAATATGGCTCTCTAACCACATAAATACTCAAAACAAGTACAGGTGCACAAGTATATATCAGTGCCTGTCACCATAGAAATTTTAACTGCATTCAATTCAGCAGTTACTTCAAACAAGCTCATGCAAAAAAAAAGCGGATGAAGAAGATTCTCAATTGGAGGCCTGATCATGATGTACTATTTTTAAATTATTTATTAATTATTTTTTTCTTTTATTTTCCAACAAAGGAAATCATTCTGGAGTTGTGTGCAACATTTCTGATGAGGCTGCTGTTGAAACGAGGCTTGCTCAAATAAATGAAAAGTATGGTCGCATTGACATTTTAGTGAATAGTGCGGGTATGAATAAAGATGGATTGTTACTCAGGACTAGCAAAAAAGAAGTTATGGAATTAATGCAATCTAATTTAGTAGGACCCATGATCTCATCCAGGGTTGTTTTAAAACAAATGATTAAACAAAAGCAAGGATGCATTATTAATATAGGTAAGTACAATACTACAGTTCAAGATACATTTTCATCCTAGGTGCCATTTCTGACCAAAACCAGGTAGTCTCCAGATATGATCCATCATATCAGGGGCATTTCTTATCCAAACAAGATAGTCTCCAGATATCATCCATCATATGGGGCATTTTTTCATCCAAACAAGGTAGTCTCCAGATATCATCCATCATATCAGGGGCATTTCTCACCCAAACAAGGTAGTCTCCAGATAGCATCCATCATATGGGGCATTTCTCATCCAAACCAGGTAGTCTCCAGATATCATCCATCATATCAGGGGCATTTCTCACCCAATAAGGTAGTCTCCAAATATCATCCATCATATGGGGCATTTTTTCATCCAAACAAGGTAGTCTCCAGATATCATTATCATCCATCATATGGGGCATTTCTCATCCAAACCAGGTAGTCTCCAGATATCATCCATCATATGGGGCATGTCTCATCCAAACCAGGTAGTCTCCAGATATCATCCATCATATGGGGCATGTCTCACCCAAACTAGACTTTCTTCAGATTTCATCCATCATGGTACATATGTAATACCGTACTACATTGCTATTCTAAAACAAAGAAACTTATGAATAGGTTAAAATTATGGAAAATCATTCAATTTTAAATATGCTGTTATAACATATTCTCATTGGTTATACACCTTATAATAAGTGCTTGCTAGGCACTAAAGATAGCTTCGTTGTCAATTGCTTGGGAAAATTTATTGATTTTATTTCTAAGCTTTAGTTTAGTCTATTGTTTTGTTTGTGTTTTTCTTGACCATTGATTTATTGTATGTTTTTTTTTCATTCATACTAAATTTTGTGTCAAATAATATATCTATCTATTTATGAACACATTGCTTGTTGAAAGCCACTGTGAATGGCCAATATGAATTGAAAAAAAACAACAACATATCAGCAGACTGTTTTAACCATTTCACTACCAGTTCCCTCTTTTCATCACAAATTCACAAAATAGTCCTGTTCATAGTTTGCACTTTCCTTCAGAAATTTGGGACAAAAATAGCAAATTTTTTGGGTAAAAACTGAAAATTTACTCAAATTTTGTCTGTTTGCTCCAATATTAGGGTTCATTTCCAGAAACTTTAAAGAATATGAAAAAATCAAAGAAAGCTTAGAAAGAACTCCCGTGTGCTGAGAGTATTGAAGACACATTAAAAATTAATTCAAAATTGCTTGTACTTGAGATATTGATGGAATAGCTGAAAACTAATTATGTAAATCAGATAACTGATATGAACAGATGTGTACAACTAATAAGGCCTGCGTAATGTAATATCTATGTACCAAGTTTCATTGAAAATTTGATTAAAAAAAATATGGCTATTTTTGTACACAACGCAATAAGTTTACATGGAATTCAAAACAGGCTGCACAACAACCATCATACTTTTAATGCATGATTGTGATAGAAGAAAAACAAACTAAATAGAGGTGGATAATCCGAGTGTATTTGTCATTTCAGGCAGTATAGTAGGCTTTAAAGGCAACATAGGACAGACATCATATGGCGCAAGCAAAGCAGGATTGTTAGGATTTACAAGATGTCTTGCCAAAGAAGTAGCATCTAGAGGAATAAGGGTCAATCTCATAGCACCAGGTAGGTACTTTTTTTAAGGTTTTTTCTGTACAGACTTACTGTACTTTCAGCTGACAGAAGTAATGAGATTTGATGACTGGAGTACCAAATATCATAACAATCTATTTGTATCCTTGTTTATTTTATGCTACAAAATGCATAAAATGGAACTTTTAGGGGGGGGGGATATGTGAAAATTTGCCTTTTGAGTTTTTTATTAAAAAAAAAATTAAATGCACTTTATTAATATTTACAACATATATTATTATCAGATTTTGTGTAAATTTAATGAAAATCTTGCTTGTCTAAAAAAATGTGTGAAATTAGGTGGACATTGTATCAATATTTTATTTCGAGACAAAAAATGTACATATCTGACTAAAATGGGTGACGAATAGCCATAAATTTGTTTTCTTGGATATATATCACTGAGTATAATAAAAAAAAGTCTTGTTAACTCAAGCTGTTTTATGTAACCTTCGTTTGAAAACACGATTTATGACTAGTTTAGTTCTACTGCTCAGAATATATTGCATATGTACAGTGTATATTTTGTTTTCTAAATTTGTCAATAATATAATTAACATCTTCTTGGATTTTTTTCATGTGTATGATATAACTAGTCTTGGCTTATTCTGAATATAATCTTTGAAGTAAGAAACAATACATCTGTTGCCTGTTCCTGTATTCTCTTGTTGTCATGTAATGTAAAATACTTTATTTTAGCTGGAATTGATTTTCGTTGAAAAGACTTATTTGGTGTTTTGTATGGAATTTTGTTTCACTGATTTCGAACAAGGTGAATGTAAAAATATAGGAAAAAGGGTATACTCGCTAGATTTTATTTTCACTGAATCATTCCTTCAG